TTTGGCTGAAAGCGGACGTTGGCTGATGATTCATGAGGGTGGGGGGGGGTAGGTTACAGTAAACAGTAAGCTGTAGTTGGTCAGATAAAACCACAGTTTCCAGTCTTACTGCAGACTTTAGCGCGCTGACCAATGTTGGACTTTTCTCTGCGGCTTTGGGCTGAGAAACTTTAAAAACCGCTCCTCCTTTAAAACAGAAATATGGAACATGACCGAATTACACAAGTCTGAGCCGAAGACGTTACCAGAAATGACGAAATCTGAGTGTGAGGATGTCCCTCTGTATTGAAATTCATCACAAAATGTCCTGAACGCACCCAAAACGCAGGTTTGCACCATCCTGCTCGATCTTACTTTTGGTTGACCATCAAACAAATGTTTATTTCTCATTAGTGCAGCAGTGGACGAGTCGCACATTTAGATTAGAAATAAACTCCAGTCCTCTGATTACATAAGCTATATTTGTTTAATGACTTTTTTAAATTTTTCAACAGACTTTGGGAGAAAAACTTTTGCCAATCCAAGAGCTGGGTTCTCAGTCAGGCCTGCCATGAAAACGTTACTCAAGAGGAGGTGAGTGAACTACCAGGGGGAAGAAATGAACTCAAACCACCAGGAACACATCTAATAAAATAAATAAAAAATAAAAAACATTTTTTAGCCCATAAAATTGGATAAATATTACAGTGGACTTATGACACTTCTTCCCTGCTGCATACTGAGTTGGGTCAGTTCCTCCTCCTGACCAACAAAAACAAACATGGCGGAACGTAACGGCCGCCGAACGGTTTTGTAACAACACTGAGAAATGTCCCATTTTTACAAAAAAATCGGTCCAATAAACTCTAGATTTAACTTCCAACCCGTTTCTATGTTTAAACTGTCAAAATCAAACAGATGAAGTTAATAATTATCGATAATGTGACCAATGTTTAGCCCATGTTGTGTTTTGTAACGGTTGTACCGGCTAGGACTTGACGCTACATTTACTGCACAACAGAAAATCGGAATTAATTTTAATTACACAGGTAAAGTCAGGTACTGAAATTAAACGTCGTATTTGATTTATTCTGACTGAAAACTGGGGAATTGTATTAAGTTTAGTGATCCATTACCAAATGAAAGTTGAAGCGAAAGACGTGGCCAGACTCAAAACAGGTCCCAATGTCTGACGTACAGTGAATGCAGCATGATTTAAAACAACAAAAAACGAACTAAAGTAACCCTGCAAATCTAAATCCATTTTGTAAATTTCTACACGTAAGTTGCATTAAAGAATAAATGTCAGGGCTGTTTTGTTAGTTTTTTTAAACTTCTTTAACTTTACTGTTTGCACGATATGATCCCGTTTATGACATTTAACATAAAGTATATGCAGGATGTATCTAAAGTAATTTATTTAACTTGTACCAACCTAGATTATTCAGTTTAAAACTTAATGAGAAGTTCTGTTTAGATGCAACATTTGAATAAGAACAAAGCTGTGGGATTAAGCTAAAATGTTGCCTTTAATACAAAACCGGAGGTGAAACATTTAATGACCACATGAAGCTTCTGCATTTGTTTCAACATCTTTATTTAGTTCAAGAGTACATGGAGGATAAAGAGAAATAGAACAGTTTTTAAATCGTCTCCCTCAGTAAAGTCAGACATTCAGAGCAGAATCTGAAGGTCTGAAGGACCTTCCCCGTTTCCCACCGGATGATAAGAAGGCACAGAGCTCTGAGGGGGGGGGGCAGCTTAAACTGGATCGAACACGTCTGTCTGCATGCTCTGAGGGTTTCTATGTAGAAAATAAACACGGTCGTCCACCTGGATATCACAATATTTCATCACACTGCAGCGGAAACACACACAAGTCTACTTTCCATTCATTATTCTGAGGTATAATTTGTTACAATTCATAAAATTCAAACTTTAAACGAAGAAAAATGGCTAAAATACTAGTTAAAATCACGTTTCTAACAGGCATATACATGCTGACACTACTCTGGGTTTGGCTAATAATGGCTTCAGGATAGCAGGTTAGTCAATTACAGTCACAATCACCAGTGTGGATCAGATCTGCCCGGTTTGGTGGCCCCTCTCTGAGGGGGGGGGTTACGGTTGGAAACCAGTTTACTAAGTTTGTCATCTGATTGGTCGCTTCGCATTAGCTTATAGGGAGTGTTGGGTGGATCCCTCCAACCTGGCGCCCCAGGTGGACCAACTGGTGATCGGGGGGGATGAAAGAAAAAGAAAATAGAACCTGTTATATCTTTAAAAAAAAAAAAAAAAAAAAAGTTTAGCACAAGTGTATAAAAAGTCAGAAAAACATGCCACTGAATCAACGCTGCCACTGAGATTCGCAGTTTCTAAAAGGTTTTTGGTGAGATCTGGAAACGTGAGCACAAAACGGCAGTGAGGCTGATTTTGTTGGTTAGACAGTTAAAAGGTGGCGTTTTTTTTTATCTAGCTGCACTGAGAAATGCGTCTCCCCCCCGGCGGGCGGCGGCGGCCTCCCGGCGGTCACAGTGAGACCGGGGACAGAAACCCGGCGCTCCGGGTGGTCCGGTTGGGCTACAAGCGGCGAGGCTCTGAGATATTGTGCGTACAGGGTTGTGGTTGTTGGCGTGTGTGCGCTTTGGGGGGGGCGGGTCGGCGGCGTGGAGGCCGGCGCGGAGCGGCCGGACCGCTTCAGGTCAGAGGGGACAGGGGGGGGGAGAGGTCAGCCGGGCGGGGAGCAAACACGTCCCTCATCAGAGCTGTGGGACGAAAAAAAGGAGGGAGTCAGGTCAGAGTTGGCCGGTCATAAACTGGAATATCTGACACTAACCTGAATAAAACCAGCTCTTTAAATGGAGGAAATCCCACATTATTTAGCCACAAATCTCCACACCTAACACATGAAACTTTCCTGTTCTGGGGATCAGCCTGAACCTGAGGTTCTACTCTAACCCAGTCTAAGCCGGTTCTGTCCGGTTCCGGCCACCAGGGGGCGCCGGCCTTCCTGGGGGGGGGGGCTCACCTGTGGTGTCGCAGAGCCCCTGCATGCCCCCCAGCACGGGGTCTCTGTCGGTGAGCATCTGGCTGCACACCCCCGGGCTCGGGTCCAGCAGCAGATCCGATTGGTCGGCTTCCTCCAGAGAGCCCTGCGCGGAGAATTTCAAAGTAAAACGACAGGAAGTGAGTCACAGATGAGCTGGACGTGGCCTGAAAAGGCTTCTAAGGGCCTCGTTTGTGTCTGGGCTCCACAGCTGAGCCCCCCCCACTCCGTCTGAGAGCTGAATTAAACTGGTATTCTAATTAAAAACGGTGAGTAAATAAGGAGCTGATTCAACAGCGGTGAGACTAAATGAAGCGTCTGAATGAAGGAGGAAGGAGTAGCTGTTTATTTTTTTTTTGAAAACATGTTTTTTCCTACTCACCAGCAGCCTGTGGGTCAGGAGAAGTTCCTCCTCGATTGAGGAAGGACTCTGTTTCGGTCTCTTGTCCTGAATCAGCAGCCGGGGCAGAATCTCTTCTGAGTCGTGAGTCCTAAAGCATACAAACGCGTTCAGACTGAGGCTCTGTGGCGCCCCCTGGTGGCCCAACAACACGGTTTCTTTCTGTTTAACAACCATCAGCATGTTTAACTTAAACTGAAACACAGAAAAACATTTGTTTTTCATCCCAGATTTCTCCTCAAGTCTAATTCTCTTTCAGCCAGCTTGCTCTCAAATAAAAGCAAAACTTTTGAAAATCCAGAGGTGACCTCGTTGGTGTCAACCAATCAGAGAGCAGAACCACAGACACCCTGACTGCCTCTGGCCTTGGTCCAATCAGATCTCTGTTACCGGGCAGGAAATGCCGGTCTTACTCAGCAAACTGCTCTCGGAGCTTTTGGGGGGCTGGAGTTGTTCCCTAAGTTTGCTTTGCTTTGGTTTGTATCAGCTTTTGGATGTTTTGGGGAGCGTGAAGCAGAACTTTAGTCGTCTTTTTCGGCACATCTTGCTCGTAGATCCCTGAAACTGTCTGTCTGACTCACCTCTTCCGGCCGGCCGTGGGCATCATGGCGGAGAGCTTGTCGGCCTCGTCGGGCAGAGGGCTGAGCAGGGTGAGCTGGAAGTCGTCGTCCATGGAGATGTAGGGCGCAAACATGTCCAGGTCCTCCGCCTCCATGTCCTGAGCGCCACAGGGGACGGAAACGGGGTCATTTCAGTTCCTTTTCACAGACCACAGATATTCAGAGCGTCCGCCGGCTCCCACCTGCAGGGTCTGCTGGCTCTTCTGAGCGTCCTCGGGACAAATGGCAAAGAACTTTTCCACCTCGGTCGCGTCCGCAGCCTCCTCCTCACCAGCAGTCTGACAGCAAACAGAAGAGAGTTTAAAGAACAGACCTCCTCCGTGCTAGCTTATTTTACAGGATGTCAACTAGGCTTGTCCGCCTATATTTGCTAAAAACTGTGTATCGGCCGGCAGGAGAAAACGCAGGTCCAGATCCCGTTTTTTAAAGTCCGATCCCACATTAGCATTAGCATCTCCTAACCCACAGGTCTGTGTCTTAACCATTAAGTTGTTATCAGAGTAAATCCCTGTTGAACATGACAACTAAGTAAGTAGATAAATAACTTTAAACTTTAATACATTCTCTGATAGGCCGGGATCGGTATCGGATCTGCAAAAAGCTGGATGGGGACATCTCTAATGTCTACAAATGTTTTCAAAAGCTCAGATTCTGCTTAGTCTGCTCTCCCTTTTAAAAGTCGGGGGTTTGTAGGTACCGGCGGCGGGGGCTCGGGGGGGCGGGCCGGCGGGGCGGCCGGAGCCATGCTGTTGAAGATGGGGGACAGCAGCTGGCGGAGCTGGGGGCTGCACAGGTCCTGGGGGTGGTCCGGCAGCGGGTCCGGGCCGGCCGGGCTGGAGAAGGACAGCTCAACGGGACCTGGTGGGGGGGGGGGGTAATGGGTCAAACCAGATCGTACCCCGCCCCGCCTCTAGGGGGGGGAAAGGTGTCCAGGGCTCACCTTCCAGCAGCAGGGAGTCCCCCCCGGTGGGGGCCAGCTGGATGAGCTGCTCCGGGTTCTCCTGCAGTTTCAGGAACAGCCGGGCCGGGCTGCCCTCCTCC